ACAGGCCAGTCAGAGATTCGTTGGTCAGGCTAGTCAGAGATTCGTTGTTATAAAAATTCTCAAAATTACTCAGAACTATAGAAAATTATATATTACGTCCAACTAAATTATTTTCATTAATTAAAAAAAATATGCAGTTTAAAAAAAACCCTCTAAAAATAACTTTATCGAGATAACAGCTAACTAAGCCCATCCATTTTTGCCGTGTGTATTTGAATGGGAATAAATCTAGCAGACAACACATTTCTACTGTACTGTAAACCGCGTCACAACAAAACTCCTTTAAAATTAACCCACCGTATCCGTCATATCATTGTGACCATTTAAAATCCACGCATTTTTGTTACATATCTTTTTCTAGGCTAACGAATAATTTTGATAATTAAAATTGGAATCAAATTAAAGGTAAATACATTTCGTTTTTAGTAATTTAAGTCATCTTGAACAACACAATTTGTTTAAACCGTAGGCGTTACTGGGGACAGTAAACAATCTAGGGGAGACAACTCAAAATTCATACAAATCTATTCCCACAACTGCCTTAGGCTATGGAAGCAAATAAAAAAAAATCTTACACACTCTGTATGAAAAGTTTAATGTCCATAATTATACTGTATTTGGCATCATTTGAAAAACGTCTACCGCCCTCACCCCCCCCCCTCCCCGAACGAAGTAGAATTTATATAGAAAACATTAACTTTTACCAGTGTCCCCTCTCCCCCCTCCCCCCCCCCCCCTAAAATGTTTTTTTTTTCGAAGTTATTACGCGACTCGCAGAGCGTTTCCCGTAACAAATTGACTGTCCCATTTCCCATACTCAAACGCCACTTCTTATTTCACGTTACACCCTCTGATACTTGATAGTGATATTGTAGAACTACTAGTCTACTAAACTTTTTTTTTTTTTTTTGGCTTCTTTAAAGTTGTTTATGGCAATAAAAATTTAAACTGTCCTGGCTATCGAAAGCCGATCTTCATTTCTGCTAGCGATGAAAGTCATGGCTCTAGACTGCGTTACACTCAGTCTCAGCTTTTGGTTTTCCAAAATCCTCATGATCTCAACACAGATCTAGATCTAAATCTAATTATAGGTCTAGTTTTGGTAAAATCTTAGTTTAGCGTCGTAAATTCCAACGTAGCTAGTAATGTGCGATGAAGGTAACTAATGAATATTTCGGTAATCTATCGTTTTGGGTACGTAAAATCGCCCGCGATTTGTAATGTGAAAAACAGGTGACTCCTTAAATTTTAATAATTATTTCACATTTTGAGGAGGATTTATGTTTTAAAAAATTCAAAAATGTTTCCTTGATTCATTTATGTACCTGTTTTTAAACAATTGAATTAAAACATTTCCGTAATAAATGAAGACTAGCGATGTTTCCAACAGATGCAATCATGCTCATTTACTATAGCAGCCATCTTGTCTAAGTTTTATTTTTATAAGCTTTTAGCGCCAGATTCAGGGGGAAGTCACTCTATTTTACAAATGGCTGCTGTTTATATAGCAAATCTTGCTCACAGACACTGCTGTTTAAAGTTAATTTCTGGCCTATATCGATATATTTAGCCATTGATTTAGGTTTATTATTCATTTATCTATAATATTTGACACAAAAGTATGACAATATACTTCTATTAAAGCCTTGACAATGAGGTAACGTTTTCGTACATAAATAGCCGCGGGCGATTTTACGTACCCAAAACGATAGATTACCAATATTTCTTTCAATTGGCCATATTTATGTCATATTTTACACAATATAACAGATAATTGAATAACAAATCACAATCCAAGACCAAACCAGTCATAAATATCCTGGAATAAACGGTAATCTATCGCTTTAGCGTAATCAATTCGGCCGTCACTAGTAATGTAGGGATAAGGTAACTATCAAATATGGCTTAGATGTGAATATATTTTTGCATATTTTACTAAAATACTAAAGATAATTGAATATTAAACCACATTTAAGGTTTAAATCAATAAAAATGTCATGAAATTAAGGTTTAACATCGATGTTCCAGATACTAAATTCGCTATTAAAAACAGCGGCCATCTTAAGAAAATATTATTTTGAGTCATTTCCCTTTAATTTCTATTTGTATGGAAATGTATTGATGTTTGCTATTAAATACGTTAGTCTTGTGTTTAAATACAAAGCATGCGTTTTTTTTTTAAATTCTGCCCTTTAAACAATTTAATTGACTGACAATAAACATCAGTTCTAGAATTATTATTATGAGATGCAATTTTTACACATTAAGATACTCCCTATTTTTATAGAGCTACCACTACATATCTAATGTTTATTTAAATATTAGTTTGAGTTAATTCTTATTGTTTGTATTATCACCCCATGCGGATCATCTCAACGACAGAATCGTTGAGCCTCTCTCCGACTGTGTCGTTGAGAATAAAACCCTTTGGTGGTTTCTCAGTCAACACTGTCGATGAAAATAAAACAATAATTTAGCTAGTCTCATAACGCGAGTTGAATTACCTCCCCTGACCCGCTTTTTTATGGCCACTTTCTAGTTCGTTTTTTTCGATCGCGTCTCGGCACTGTTGCTAAAAATAGCATTCGCGCAATACCATACGGGTAAATCTGTTTGGCGTCTGCTACACGTGATAGATCGTTGAATGGCCGACAAGCTGATATAAAAATTATTGCGACCGGATGCGATTTTCGTGGAAATTGAGCTAGATTTAGCAAAAGACAGCTATATTTGTGTAAAATATTATTATTTATACTTCTACTTACACAGATATTTTGATAACTGCAGTTCAGCCGTCCATTTTTCTTTTAAAATGTATCTTTAGAATTTCTGTACCTTTTGGCAATCGGTCAGGAGCATTTGCGCACTAAACCCACCCCCCTACGGCAGATCCGATTTTTTTCCCAGTGAACTCGTACTGACCTCCCACATAGCTAAGATAGTACATTGATACTGATGGGAAAGCCTCTAAATCTGTATTCCTACTAGAGATCTAGAAATAAATCTAGATCGTGGAGTTTTTATAATGACTTTTAAATTGAATGTCTCCAGTTTAAGATATTTTTTTTTCAAAACATAGCTACTTTTAGTACTAGAATCTAGATCTATATTTAAGTATTTCAAACCCTTTTGGTAGTTTTTTCTTAAACTTAGACCTAGATCTAGATCTAGTGATTAGATATCTATATTTTGTACTTATAACTTGCAGGCCTATTAAAATAATAATAAAACACTTTGCTTGATAACTTCATTAGGTCATTTCATAAACACAAATGTTATAAACATATAAAAATCACAAAACCATAGGTAATATCTGAATTCTGTAGCCTACCTTACATTTAGGCTAATACTGAATTAAAAAGAAATTACATTAAGGTTTGAAATTAATACAACTTGTAATTAAGAAAGAAAGCTTCAATTCTAAATACTACAAGATATAATAACAAACAATGAAACAAATTCAAAGCTTTTTTCAACCCATTTAGTCGAAAAGATTTTTATTTTTTCCGATATTGACCAAAATAAGTTTTTAAAGCTTAGGCCCACTGTTTTTACAAACATAACTCAATTTTATTAGGCCCCTGTAAACATTAATTAAGATTCCTCTGTAGACAAAGCAATCTATTTGGCAGATGAAGTAGAGTTCATGTTTCTTGACCTCGGCATATGAAGTGATTGTCCGTGTGGTCAGCGATATTCACAGCCGCCTTTACTTTTTACCTTTAATTTCCCCAATGTATATCAGGTACCCATCAGAAATGGGTGGACTCTAATTGAATTTTATTAAACAAACATTTTGATGTAGGCCTAGATCTATAATCTATAACATTCCAAACAACATCTGTTCTGTAGAATTTACCTTTCTGCTTCCAAATGCGGTATTTTCCAATTGAAAATTCATCACAAAACATACAATAAATTATATAAATGGCATTTTATAAATGTATATAAACTATTTACTTTCACCTTGGTGTAAAAAAATGTAGGTATAAGCAAACTGATTTCAATAGTAAGAAAGAATCATGTCTTTTCTTGCTTACTAGCTTTAAAACAAGTGAATTTGACTTTTTACCTGCGTTTTTGGTCGCGTTTCTATATATTTTATTTGCGACACTAAAAAAATTATATTTAATCAACCGATTATGCTAAATTAATAAAATTGGTACTGTTGGATTGCATTTTTAAAGCTCTACAATTATATGCTATTCTTTTTATAATTTGAAGAAAATTGAATTTATATGAGACTAACTAAATAATTAAACATGCTCTCCACAATTAGGAAAGCATAAACTGTAGGTGTTTTGAAGCTAATATTCCAGCCATTTTCTTTTGACGAGAGCTAGTCCAGATCTAGATTAGATCTACTTGATCAACGATTTACACTGATGTAAAACCTACGTAAATCTACAAGATCTAGATTTACATTTAGATCTAGATCTAGAAATCTACATTATTGACTAGATCTAGAGAGAGAAAGTTAAAAGTATGCCTAGTGCGTCGAAAGTAAATGATAGAATCTAGTAATTTTTCAGTAGCACTAGCTAGTCTAGATTGACTAGATAAATAGTAGTATAGAAAGATAATTATTTCCGTGGCATATCTGTTCTTTAGGATCTATTCAATTTTAAATCTCTTCTATTTCAAATTGTTTGTAGATCTATATCTACAAGCTTAGGCTTAGGTCTAAAAATATACTAAAGCTACACAAAAGTACACATTATTCATAAACTTAATGCCATTAATGATTATGGCTAAAATTCACTGAGCATTGTTGCACTTATTAAGACTTAAACATAAAATTATTAGGGCCTACGGTAGCTTAATTTTCTTGACAGCTTTTCTCTTCTTTTTTGCCATGCTTAATTTAAGTCACTTTCATGTGCTGGTAGCTTAAAATAAAACTTGTTTAGGAAGTTTATTTCTTTCTCCCTTTCATAATGCTGCAAATCTGAGTAAGACGCTTATTATTATAATTAAATAGCTGTGATAAATAATCATTTGCATCTTTTTGGGGGTATTTCTTTTCCATAAACTGTGAAATATGGTATCTCAAATTTTGCGCGTAACTCAAAGCGAAATATTACTCGCTCAACTGCTCGTATTTAAAAAATCTGGTATGTCGAGGCACTAGAATGTTGAGGTACCACAGGACCTACTATGTATTGAAAGAAAACATAAATTAATTATAGAATAATAGGCCAATATAGTAATAAAGTATAGCTTTAGATTTTATTCAGCCTACTAATAAATAATTAAATAGGCCTAAAGTAGTACTAGATATTAGATAAATCCCTAGTATTGTGTAGGGTTATTTTTATTAAAAAAAACAGATCACATCTTATACTTGACTTATACATTAAGGCGGGCTCAATAAAATAAAAATAATTTATTTAGGACCTAGGCCTATGTTTTGGAGATCTAAAATTCTAAATGAAAAATAAATTATTAATTAGACCAACAATAGGCATAGTATGCTAAATCTATTTTAGTATTTAAATTTAAGGCTCGGCCATCTACTAAAAATTTTATAAATGTCATAAAATGGCCTACTTTATTATAATTACTAATTACTATTAGGCCTAAGTTAAAACTAGACCTAGCCTATTTTATTAGTAGAAAAAGTATTATTAGCCATTAGAGTTAAGATGTTATGGCCTTATGTAAATTAATGTAATCAGTGTTAGATTATGATATCGATCAAGCATTTATTATATAATATCGGAAAGGGGCCTAGCACTCTCTTAGTCATTAGTCTATTATTAGGTCTTACAAGTAGTTTAGCCTATTTATATATTATATAGGCTGTTATTTAAATTAGGCCAAAGGCTTATTAGGAAAAGGCTTAATAGGCTTTAGTTTTTAATTAGGCAACAAGGCAGAGGCTTAATGTTGCTTATAGATTTCATTTGAAATTATTATGATATACGCTACTCTGCGGCTATCACTTAACTATAGACTACTATAGAGTATATTATAGCCTAGGCCTATCTAAATAAAATAATTCAACTCACTTAGCTTACCATAATTTTTAAAAATGTTTAGTTAAGTATTCAGCTCTCTATGTCAGCTAAGGCCCATAATTGTTAGATCTATTAATTATTTAATGATTAGTAGGCCTAATTATAGGAATTAGGTCTGATACATTAAGTCCTATATATTGGTCGTAGAGTAATACTATTGGGCTAGTAATTATATACAATATCTATACAAACCCACTTATCGTTAATTTGGGAGTCTTTGCATTGACCTTAGTTTTCAGATGAAGCAGCCTAATTTTTTATCAGATTATACCATAAAATCAAAAGTAGACTTGTAGATCTTTTTAAAACAAGGCATGAAATATTAATTTAAATAATATAAACAAATAGCCTAAATAACAACTACACAAAGTTAAAGTCATAATAAATTTTTTATAAAGGTATGGTATCTTGAATTTCAACTGGAGGTAGTTTTGATAAATATTAGTATTCTGAACATTAAAATAGGTAGACTTAACATAAATTTGTTCTGAAAACATATTTAGAAATTGGTTTTAAAAAATGAGGTTAGGATTGGGGTGGGTAACTAGTTGAGGATTAGATATGAAATTCATTGTGTTTATCCATGTTGTAATTTCTCTTTTACAGGTTCACCCAAAAAAAAGGGAAGATCTGATTTTTACCAGTAATAAGACTACAGCATACTAAATGACACAAGATGTTCTTTCTCTATTACCTCTTACATTTGACATAAAAGCAGGAAAAGGTATGACAATTATTAATAAGCTGCTTTAAATTTTATTTGTTTTTTATAACTTGATTGTACCATTTTTATTTCCAATGATCATAAATATAATTTAGTGTCATTTATATTTTAAAATATTTATATTATACTAGATATAATATCATGTCATGTTTGCCTGTCGTCCCTACTGGGACATAGGCCGCTGACAAGAGCTTTCCAGACGTCTCTGTCCAGGGCTAGTCTCTCCAACTGTCCCCAGGTGTATCCAATCTTCTTGGTGTCTTCTTCCAGGTCACGTCTCCAGGTCTTTCTTGGTCTGCCTCTCTTCCTCCTGCCTTGTGGATTCCAGGTGAGGGCCTGTCTTGTTATGCTGGATACAGGCTTCCTGAGTGTGTGGCCAATCCATTTCCATTTTCTCTGGAGGATCTCTACTTCCACTGGCAGTTGATTTGTCCGTTGCCAAAGAACATCATTTCTGATGGTTTTAGGCCAGCGAATTCGCAGGATCTTTCTGAGACATGCGTTTATAAATGATTGTATTTTCTTCTTATTTATAGCAGTTATTCTCCATGTCTCAGCTCCATAGAGTAAAACAGGTTTTACTAGTGTGTTGAAGATCCGGATTTTTATTCTAATGGTTAAATCTCCCGAACCCCAAACATTTTTTAGTTGGTTGAAGACTGCTCTTGCCTTACCCGTCCTTATTTTTATGTCTGCTTCTGTCCCACCCTGCTTATCAACAATACTTCCAAGGTAGGTGAATCTATCCACTTCTTCTAGGGCTTCTTCTGCCAGTGTTATAGGGTTGTTGTTTGATGCATTGACTTTGAGAACTTTACTTTTCCCTCTGTGGATGTTCAGACCCAGGCTTGTAGAAAAATTTGCAACCCTGTTGGTTTTATCCTGCATTTGCTGTTGTGTGTGAGAAAGGAGGGCCAGGTCGTCAGCAAAGTCCAGGTCATCCAGCTGGCTCCACAATGTCCACTGTATACCGTTTCGCGTTTTCTCTGTTGACATCTTCATAACCCAGTCTATGGCCAGTAGGAACAGGAATGGTGAAAGTAGGCAACCCTGCCTTACTCCGGTCCGTACTGGGAAGGCCTCTGTAGTCTGTTGGCCATGCACTACTCTACACTTGAGACCTTCATATGAAGACATAATAATGTTGACTATTTTCTGTGGCACCCCGTAGTGTCTCAACAATTTCCACATTGACTGCCTATCCAGGCTATCAAAGGCCTTCTCATAGTCTATGAAATTAATATAGAGAGATGAGTTCCACTCTTGGGTCTGTTCAATGATGATGCGCAGGGTAGCAATTTGGTCTATGCATGACCTTTCCTTCCTAAAGCCCGCCTGTTGATCTCGAAGCTGGGGATCTATGGCTTCCTTCATTCTGTTTAATAATATTCTGTTGAAGACTTTGCCTGGGATGGACAAAAGTGTTATCCCTCTATAGTTAGAGCATGCACTAAGATCGCCTTTCTTTGGAAGCTTTATGAGTAGTCCCTCCTTCCACTCCTCTGGTATTTGTTCATCTTCCCAGATTTTCTTGAAGAGTGTGTATAATAGTGTGGTGCTAGTTTCTATATCTGCTGTCAGTGCTTCTGCCGGTATACCATCTATTCCTGGAGCCTTCCAATTTTTCAGCTGCTTTATAGCTCTATGTATCTCTTCTTTTGAAGGTGGGTTGCAGTCTATAGGGAGGTCACTTTCAGCTGGTGGTATGTCTTGCGTGCACTCTGGTGTTGGTCTATTCAGTAGTTCTTCAAAATGTTCTACCCATCTCTTCATCTGTCCTTCCGCATCAGGTATTGTCTTTCCATCTTTGGTTTTCACTGGCCTCTCTGGCTTACTGTACTTACCAGATATCTTCTTAATTGTATTGTACACGTCCCTAATATTACCATGGTACAGTGCTTCTTCCGCTTCTCTTGCCAGCAGTTCCAAATAGCTCCGTTTGTCTTTCCTTATGTGTTTCTTTACATTTTTGTTCGTTTCGGTGTATTCTTCCAGTGCTTTTAATTTCGTAGCCCGTGTGCGGCTGTTGTTTAATGTTGCCTTCTTTCTTTTTCTCTCTTCAATAATTTTCATGGTATCTGCTGATATCCATTCCTTCGCTTGTCTTTTGATAGGGCCTAGCACTTCTTCGCATGTTGATGTTAATATACTTTTAGTTTTTTCCCATGTTTCCTGTATCGTCTCTTCTTCTATTAGTTCTTGTAGTACCTGGAACCTATTGGACATATGAAGTTTAAATTCGTTGAGTTTAGATGGGTCCTTTAGCAGGCCTGTGTTGTACCTGTATTTCCTTTTGTTTTCCAACATGTTTTTCTTCAGCTTGAGTTTTACTTTAGCTACCAGTAGGTGATGGTCTGAAGCAACATCAGCTCCTCTCTTGACGCGTACATCCTGAAGTGATCTCCTGAACTTTTTTATGATACATATATGGTCTATCTGGTTTTCTGTAGATAGGTCGGGTGATACCCAAGTAGCTTTATGTATCCTTTTATGATGAAAGAGACTACCGCCAATGACTAAATTATTTGTGGCACACAAGTCAGCAAATCTTTCTCCGTTTTCGTTCATCTCACCTAAACCCTGCTGTCCCATACATTCTTCATATCCTCTGTTGTCGCTTCCAATCTTAGCATTGAAGTCGCCCATGAGTATAAGGATGTTTCTTCTTGGGCGGTTCTGGATAATGGTCATTAGCCTGTTGTAGAATTCGTCTTTGTCCTCCTCTTTGCTGTCATTTGTTGGGGTATATATACTTCTATAATATTACTATCCAGGTTTAACAGTCTATGCCTACAACATAGATCTCCAGGACTAAAAGTGAAAAAAATTGCAATCAGTATATCACAAGTATTATAACACACGCATCTAATCTGCTTCAGTGGCAAGAACTGGGTGAATCCTCTCAAACATTAATCAGGTAAGTTATCACAAGTTTGCTTTGGTTTATTTTGAACATGTTGATTGAGATAGATTTTTATTTGTATAAATATTGTATTTAAAAAGTATTTTACCTAGTAAAACCAAGTCAGTGGTGAAGATTGATACAATATGTATTTTTTTAAATATTTGTTTTGCAAAATATGCTGATTTGCAGGAAGGATATATATATATATATATATATATATATATATATATATATATATATATATATATATATATATATATATATATATATATATATATAACATTATCATTTAGTGGTTTGTCTTACAAATTTGAATTATTTACTTAATCTGTCTTAACTGCTCAACAGGAACTAGGCATACCTAATGAGCGTCAAGCTGATACAGTAGATGTACAGAAGAATTTATACACAAGGTAAATATTGATAAATTTTAAGTTTTCTTTTTTTAAGGTTACATGTAGTGTTTTGGGAGAAAGGAATTAAATTATTTAAATTAGGCCTAATAGTTTATTTCTATATCTTATGTTTCTCTTAAAATAACTCAAATTTTCCCCCCTTTATCACTAAAGCAAAATTTTATAGATATCTATGCCATGATTCATCTCATTCAATCACTTTTTTCTTGTTTTGTTTTGATGTATTAAACTAATTTAAACTAAAGATTATTTTTTTTTTTTGCTAATTTTATTATTTCAGATGGATGATTAAGAAAATCATTTTGTTTTGTTTCAGGAAGTGAAAAGTGATGTAAAAGGCAACTAATACTTCCATCTACCATAATTAAACAAGAATCTGCAAATGGTGATAATTGCAATAATCTTGATATATTAATGTTTGGTTTTATAATTATATGCAATTGTCAGGTTTGATAAATAAATTATTTCTCAAAATTTGATGTATTTGGTTTTCTAACTTTGTACATAAGATGCAAGTGATTGAAAGCTGAAAAGGGTTGTATGTAGTTACAGTATTCCCAGCACAAGTTGACATTAAAACAGCTGAAGCCCTTTAAAAAAAAAAAAAAATAATAAAATAATCTAGGAATGCTGTTTCTATTAGCTGAGCACTTATTTGGAAAAGAACTTAATTGTTTACCAGAGAATACTGTGACCCAGTTTGTACTCCAGGCAAAAAGTGCCTATGTTTATTATTATTAAGTTAAAGAAAAGTATCAAACAAACAGGATAATATTAATAATAAAGACCTCCACACTAGAGAAGTATGGAATGAGTGTTGCATGGAATCCAAATCAACTTTGATGTTGCTAATTGCTACACTGGGCATAATTGGCCTACATTGACTTTTGCTGAGCTAGGCAACTGTTTTTGTTTAACTTTAGATGTCGACTAAATAAAGAAGAAAACTGACACGCCAATACCAAAATCAAGAACTTGTAAAGTTCGTGGTTGCTAAACCGAGAAGTCCTGAGTTCAATCTCCCGTGTAGATGAGGCTCTATAGTTGGGGATAGCAACCTATCTTGGGGATACAACACTTGTTTTTGGATTGACAAAAGATAAAAGAAATCCAGAAAGAAAAGCAACTGAACGAAGAAGAAAAAGGCTGGATATATTCGGTATCAACTGTACAATTTTAACAGACACACATTTCAAACTACACATGCATTTCAATGACAAAGTTCAGTGAAGCCATAATGTTGAGTTTGACTGAATGAAGAACGATATTGTTATTTCAAGCAAAGTTAAGGTTTATTGTCTTAAAGACATTGTCGTGGATTGATTTAGACTAAGACTTCCCTGTTAAATAAGCCGACAACGATGGCTCTTCTTATTTCTCGTCTTTGATGTTGCTTTCAAGAACTTGTATGAGATTAGATTACCTACATAAGGCTACAAAGTTTGGAATCTTGGCTTTCTAATAGTGGACCTGGCTACATGACATTACCCCCACCCCGTCAATTACCCCCCCCCCCCCCCCGGAGCAGAGTTTCTTCCAGGCATCTCTTCGGGGGGGCGAAGCCCCCCCGAAAAATTTTTACCGCCCCCCCGAACGAAATGAAATTTATATAATTTATATAGAAAATATATACTTTTAACTGTGTCCGCCCCCCCGAAGAAAGTTTACCGCCCCCCCGAAGATTTCCAGTGCCCCCCCGGAGAAAAAAGTCTGGAAGAAACACTGCCCCGGAGGAGACCCCCCCCCTCCCGTATTTACCCCCGGGGCAATTACCCCTTGTCAATAACCCCCCTGGAGAATCCCCCCCCCCCCGGCCTCAAGTTATGATCCTAACTCAAACTCTATACCTATGTATTTCCTTAATCCTAATCGATAAAAAAATGACCAAACCCTAAGCATTCACCTCAGCCTAAAACTTAACACATAACCAAAACCAACTCTAGACTTAGGTTTCAGCCTAACCTTGACCATAACACTAACCCTAATCCTAGCCTTAATCCTAACCCTGACCATAACACTAACTCTAATTCTGAACCTAACCCTAACCTTAGCCCGAACGCTAACCCTAACCTTAGCCCGAACGCTAACCCTAACTCTAGCTCTAACTCTAACCCTAGCCCTAACGCTAACCATAATCCTAACCTTAGCACGAACGCTAGCCTTAGCCCAAACTCTAACTCTAGCCCTAACTCTAACCTAGCCCTAACGCTAACCCTAACCCTAGCCGTAACCCTAACCATAATCCTAACCTTGGCCAGAACGCTAACCCTAACTCTAACCCTAGCCCTAACGCTAACCCTAGCCGTAACCCTAACCATAATCCTAACCTTGGCCAGAACGCTAACCCTAACTCTAACCCTAGCCCTAACGCTAACCCTAACCCTAGCCGTAACCCTAACCATAACCCTAACCCCAGCTGTACCTTAAGAGGTGTGTCCGTGGGGGGGGGGGATGTCCTCCTTGGCGGGGGGTAAATGACAGGGGATAATTGCTTCAGGGGGGGGGGAGAGAACTAATAATCTGTAAGTCCTACTATTCAATACATTTGGTTTAACACAATGTCGTCACACATGTAAAACAAAATAAGCAGTGTTTTTATTATTTGTATCCTTAAAAAATGCAAAATAAATGCTACGCCATTAACTCAACCCTCTTTTTTCTCGTTACATATCGTCACATAAAGCCACCGCCCAAAATGATGGTGACGTCAATATACAATCATAAAGTGGTCACCCATTAACGACGACTCACTCTTCAGACGATTTTGCACCCAACCCCCCTTCTCTAATTGTAACACATTTTCACAAAAAGCCAGATCTTCGCTTCCCCCCCCCCCCCCCCACCACCACTCTCTTTAAAAACACCACACCTCAACACATAACCCCCTCCGCCGTTCCCCTGAAACTGCATTTTTACTTTCTCGTATATACGAAGTATAGAGAAAGTCTTGTAATCGTGCAAAAAAAAAAAAATCGAGATTTTTTTTACAAATCTCGACGTTTTACACCTCACTGATACGGAAAAACATAATTTTGCAATCTTGTCCGTATGTCTGTGTGTCTGTGTGTGTCTGTGTGTAAACACGATTACTTGAGTACCGTTACAGCCAGGTTGATGAAATTTCATATATAAGTATTTTATCAAAATAGTATAAACTTTTGAGCGATTTCCGATAACCGAAAGTGGTACTTTTTCTACTTTGAATTTTTCAAAAGCCTATAACTTGAGTACTATTTCAGATAGATAAATGAAATTTCACATGTAAGTAAAAGATCTAATTCTCTGCCTTCTGTCAAATTTTGAGTAAATTCCGTTGACAGGAAGTACTAATTTACGCTATTTCCGATTTCTCAAAAAAACGCACGTAAATTTATGAAGTACTAATAATGTTGCGCACTATTATGCACATCTTTATTTGGCGTTCACTTGGTGTGCAATTCTTTTTTCTACAAGGTTTTATTCTATTTTAAAAAGTTTAAGTATTTAAAGTGGATTAAAAATCATGTCTATTTCTCGAGTTGCCATTCCCGGTAGTGTTATATTAGAATATTCGAGAAAGTTTAGGGGAGATCACTCCTGGTTTATTATAATATGTACTGACCTCGATAAACATTGAGTTAATAAATGAATTAATACCAAAAGCAACCTTTTAAAGCCCGAAATAACAGATGAAAGCAAAAATGTGTCGTCAAAATTTCCGATCACCCCTTCCCATAAATGAAAAAAAAAGCCTGAACATACTAAAGGAGAGTATTGTAAACATTTAGCTTGAACCACAGCTCACCAGACCATGTAGGGATCGGGGTGGTAGGGATAGAGAGAAAGAGAGGGGGCTGCAAGGGGCGCTTACCGCTTGGTGTTTTCTATGGTATCCATGAAGAGAATTATTTATTTAGAAGAAATATATATTAAACCAGCGTACCCGTCCCGCGCGTTGCTGCGGTCTCAGAAGACCGACTGACGCAATATTTTAAGAGGATTCCATAATTACATTAGCAATCACATATTTTTTTACGCTTGACATTGATTTCTAAATCTAAACAATTTAAATGTAATCAAAGCCGGTGTTATATTGCTTTCATCATAGTTGTTGAGGCGCAAATTCTACCGCACACAGTAGCCCATTGTATCCATAATGTATCGCACTCTTTAAAACGAACGTAGGCGCAATACTGTTTATGAGGGACCCACACGGAGGCGCTAGACCACACGCCAGTGGTGCAGTAGACAAAAGTTTCCCTACTGTAGGACGCTCTTTTAAAACTCATAGTGTCCCTCCCGAAGCCAGGGGGGGGGGGGGGCGCGCACCGGGTCAAACGAATTGTCATCGAATGTCGTGTGCCACAGAGTCAATATTGTAGAGTGCTCTTTAACACAACCTTAGTATATCCCAGGGCGCCAAATCGCATCCTGCCGGGGCGCCGGCAGACGCGCCTGATTCTATATAGTCAAATTATTGTTGACCATCGTGTCTTTAGTGTATAAATTTAAAAAAAAACGAACGTAGGCGTCGTAGTGTTCACATGGTAGCACGGGGCGCTTCGGGTTACGTAATATCCGGGGCGCCGGCGGCTGCGCCTGTTGTTGCTTTTTTACCTTAGCCCCCATGCAGAAGGCTCAAGTTTTAATATCGCCGCCCTGGATTTTCGGGCGCCAAGCCATTTATTAACAAAAATCGCACCCTCTAGGGAAACGCCCATAATAAATTTTAATTTTTGTTTTCAAAGAAACCTTCTCGTGAGTGTTTTCATTAACTCTCGAAAGTTTAACGGCACTCAGATGAACGATGTCAAACAGCATCCGTTTTGTTTTTTACAAACTGTGTAGAGAAAAAATGCACCCTCCAGGAGCGCCGCCCTGTTAAAATAAAAAAAAAAGAATTTCTTACTGTAACCTCCCCTGATGTTTTATGGCGAGCGGATGAACGGGATTAAACCGCAATCTACTTTTTCGTATAAATACCCTATATAGGGAAGAATCGATTCGCGCCCTGCTGGGGCACCGTGCTTGTGAAATATATCCAGTGGTATTCTTAACTTAAGTTGCATGGCCATAGGATGAAAGGTGTAGTGCTGCATAGAGGACATAAACAAACCCACAAACAAACAAGCGAAACTTCATTATATATATACATAGAGAGAAATATACATAATTCTATATATGCATATATATATATATATATATATATATATATAGCTACATTTGGTGACTTCCCATTTTCCCCAATGGCGTCAAATTTTGCACATAATCCACCTATTAATTCATGTGAAAAAAGCATCGTTTTCATCGTAAATTATTAGATATTGTTATCAGCCTCTCTCCGGTCGTCGCTTATCAAATCTGTTATCCAAAAATTCAACAAGCATGTATTCACCTGTACATTTTGCCGTTTGAGTGATTTCCCCTCACCCCCCCCCCCC